ACAAAGTGTTTATTTCTAAAAAAATCCAACAGGATATGCTGGTAGCAGACTTGGGAAGAATAAATAAGTAAAGAACCGTTTAGGAAGGGTATACAGTCACTCAAACTTTGGGCTATTATATAATAATGAAAATCGTTTATTAAATAAATAAATGTTTGTATGTTTGGAAAAGACTTTGTATAATGTAATAAATTATTATTAATTAAGAAATTTTGACTTGCTCAAGTGTGGGTTGAAGGGAAAGGGGTTAATTATTAGAAATTTTAAATCACAAGTTTATGATCCATAACAAATATATTTTAATGATTCTTTTAGTTTTGAAGTAAATTGTGCACACTTTCAGTCTTTTAGCAGATTTATCCATTTTTAATGAATGAAGGTTCTTGGCGTCCTTCAAAATTCATGGTTTTTAATTACTTTTAAACATTGTATCATTGTTTTGTGCTTGTGACTGTAGGAGGGTTGTGAAGAGGTGAATTGAATTTTCACTCAAACTAATAAAGAGAAAAGTTCCGTATTTCAGAGGGATAATTGCATTCCTTTTGGATGAAAATCGAAGTGGAAAATGAAGTTAATTTAAATTTGGTGAATTTCTTGGTGAATTTTCAGATGGGCTATTGGTTTTTTGACACCCAAAATTATTAAAATGAAACAACTGTGCTCTGATTTTTTTAAAATAAAACAAATGTTTCAAAATAATTTTTGTGTTGTACATCAAGAAATTGTGCAGTATCATCTTTCCATGTTGATTTAATATATGCCCAAATGCCCAAAATAAATTACATTGTTTTTTTATGAGTGAATATGGCATTATTTCATCTTACTTTTTTCTCTTAAGCATTTTTTATGGTGACAGCAGATTTTTTTTTTTTTTTTTAGAAGTGATCACAATTAAAAAGTCTTAATACGTTCTGTTATATCGCAAAGAATATACAAGAAGCTACAAACATATTATTTTAAATGCACAAATTATCTATATATTTTTACTAGAGTAAGTAAAATTATTGTTGCTTTTTGATGGAGATCATGTAAAACATCTTCAAACATTGATAATGAATGGAAATTTTTCTTTAGTTTACGGGGGAAACTTATTAACGTCTTATATCATGAATAACTGCTGTTTTTTAAATTAAATTTATATATGTCCCTATAAAATATTTTTCAGTTTCTTTGACTTTCTTAAAAGGTTACATTTGAATCTTGTGCTTCTAACAAATGGACTAAAAGAACTTTGAATAATTAAAAGAAAAAGAGACACACTTGTCAATCCAAATAATCTCTGGGTCCGATATCTGATGATGTCACAAGCTCTGTATTGTCCATAGTGGAGTCTGACAACTACCATTTTCAGCACTTATTGATGAAAATGCAGTTTTCAATCTTCCAAAGTTCTTGAATTTTTTTGAAGATTGCTTTTCTTTTCATAAAGAGCCTGTTACTGACAAAATTTTAAACAAAAATTTCTTCAGTTCTGCATACTCCTCAGTTATTAAAACAAATAAAGTTATTCAATTGTTAGAACTTCTTCCTCGTTACCATGATGTTTTATGTTCGCACTCATTTTGATTCATTGTTTATAAATAGAGCACGGAAGTTCGGGCATTTATTTTACCTAAAATAGACAAACAATAAGGCATTTATTCTAGCTGAAGTAGGAATGCAAAAATGCATGTAATGAACGAAAAATCACCATTTAAAAGAAATGATTGTAAAAATTAGGAATTAAAATGAATCTCATTTTTATTCAAACTCAAATTTACGTTAGCACTTAATTGTAAGGAAACGATATTTTCTTTGTAATCTTAATTCCACAAAACTACACTTCATGATGGCTACAAATTTGTTTTACTCCCGATGCTGTCTTTGAAATGTGAATTCCGATTTGAATCGTATCGTATAATTGCATCGGAAAATATAACGGAATTATATTTTTTGTCCTTATCACTCGTTCACTCGCCATCACTGAGAAGAGTGCGTTATATCCAGCAATCTGCTTCAAAAGGGATCTGCGGCCATACTCAAAAGTAGAATGGGATTCCTCCTGAGCGAACAAATCCTGCAGGCATCAATGACAAAATACAAATTCTTGACAAGTATAATTTTCCCTTTCATTAGATTTTTAACACAGCCTCTGCTTCCACAGAAAGACAAAACAACCGTACCTGGACAACTTTCGTGTCGACCAGGCTTGTAGGTGTATCGTATATCCAGCTAGATCGCGATCAATGCCACGAGAAAAAAAAAAGCAAAATAATGAGGAAACACCATATAATGCAAAATGGCAAAAATAGGCATCAGATGCTAAAATATGCACAAAAAAATGAAATTTAAAAAAGGCGTTTTGCCAAACTTGGGCTCTATATATATTTTGTAGATTTCTTGTTTTAAAATATTTTGTACAGAAACATCACTTAGCATATCTCCTGCGCATTTCCCAAATTTAGTAGCGTTAAGAACATACGAGAAGAAAAATTAAAATATTTTATACCAGACTTTTGAATAAAATGGATAACGAAAATGAACATTTTCATCGCAGCTACTAATTCTGTTCCCCGCTTAATCTCCGCTTCTAAGAACTGTTGCTTGACAGCAACCACACGAAACCGTTATTTACACTTCGATTGAATACTGAAAACAATGTCGAAACTTGGCAAGAAGGTACACAGAACTTTCTGATTTTTTTACTGAAAAAGGATTTTTTTTAAAACTAGGAAATTGTGGTTTGACCATAAGTGCGCGCAATAAAAAATAAAGAGAGGGGCCAACTATATTCCTGATCCCCCCCCCCCCTTATCCATTGGGTACACATTTATTTTCACATGACCTTGTAAAATTGATTGCCCAATTTTCAGCGTATTTTCGAAAAAGTATTATAGGAGGGGGGTTATTGGAGGGATCGACTCCAAACCTGGTCGTATTTTGACGTCCTAGTTTCGTACATATTTCAACATATTTAGTTGCTTTCGGCAGAATTTGGATTTTTTACTCTATATAATCGCCAGCACTGAGAACGGTATACCATACACAGAGAGCTGTGTCCTGAAAAAGAATTGGAGGCTACACTCAAGTTAGGATGGAATTTCTCCTGAGCGAAAAAAGTATGTCGGCATCATTGAAGCAAATAAAAATTCTTGACTTGTATCATCTTTATTTTTTATTTATATTTTTAACACTACCTAGCCCTGGACACAAAACACGACCTCGCTTCGTGTTGCTCAGGCTTGCAAGTGTTTCCAGCTTGATCGAGATCGATGCCAGGAGAAAAAAGCAAAATAATGATGAAAAAGCCAAACAGGAGGCAAGATAAATAAAATTAAAAAACGCATCGGAAGCTAAAATAGACAAAATAGGCGAAATGAAAATCTACTAAAACAACGCAACGGAAGTAGTACAATTCAATTATTTCTGCTGTGAAAACTCATAGAATCGTACTAATAATAAAAAAAAGAATGTTGTCAGACTCTGGGCTCTATTAATCAGTAATTAATTTGGAATTTTGAAGATTGAAGGACCATTTTTAAATTACAAATCAAGTTTTAATAACTAACACTGTTGTTTTTTATTCATTTTCAAATTAAGAAGTATTTTTTGAAATTATCCACACTCTGAATTGAAGAAGAGAAAAAGAGTGGATTGTGTAATGCATTTTAATTATGCACATTCTGGAGCCCTGCGGAGCGCAGTTGAGGGCTGGTCCTTACTACTGTAGGATTAGTGTGAGGCACAGTCAACATACACTTTTTATGAAATGAACGTAGAATAGAACAAAGCCGCCCGAAGGAGAGGTCAAAATACATTTTAGGAGTTATGACGTCACGAGAGAGGACAAAATACACTGTTCTGAATAAAAGTCGAAAACCTTGTCCAATTGCACAATACAAAAAGCACTGAGAAGTTTTAGTTCTCCGTAGTTTCTGCGGAGACCTGGAGGATTAGCCACAGACCAGCAAGATCTATATTGTTCATCACAATGAATATCCGACAGAATTTCACAAATTTGCACACCTGTGCATATAAGGCGAGTATTAAATATCTAGTTACATTCCAAACTCCAAAATCGCTCGCTTGTAAAAGAAATTACACATGCGACACGTCTTCTCGCCAAGAATTATTTCGTGTCTCCGGGCGCGTCAGCGGCTGGGGTGGTCATTAGTCCCCTAAGTCTAGTCCCTGGTTTTATCGTGAGAAGTGGCAGTGTTCTTCCCCCGCCGAATGGTGAGTCTTGACGGCGACCTACGCGTCGAAGACTTGCGTCGTCGGAGCTTTCCCCACGCAGGCATCTCCCACTAGCGCGATATCGCCCCAGCCAGGACAAGCTCTAAGCTTCCGACAAGTGCGGTAGTGTAATGGATGCTTATGTAAATTGCATTGTAAATTGTAATGTAAATATGCTTATACAACGATTTGATTACAGCGACTGACGTTTAATCAGCTGGACGTGATTATTCAGCCGGGAGCTTCTTTGCGAGTTAGTGCTTGGCACTGAAGCTCCCGATTGGATAACCCGTCCAGCTGACCGACCATCACAAGTCATTATAATTAAATCGGAAAATAATGTTGAGGATAGGACCAGAAGGACAGTGAATGTCGTGCGCGGTCCATAGCCCGTTTATTAGGGTACTGATCCAGCATTCCCCTGGTATTGATCGGAGAAAACACGAAAAACTACACTCAAAAGCAACTGACCGCTAGAATTCTCCTCCAGAGAGTATATATCCTCCTCCACGCAGCCACTGAATTCGACCTAGCAGATAACGTAATTTTAATAAGTTAGTCGAAGATACGAACTCTCTTAAAAGAGCATGCATGAACAAAATCGACTGATCCGCTCGTACGCTTGATTTTCCCGCCTTTTTGATTTTCCCGCCGATTTTTAGGAATTGGCGAAGGCAAATTGACGAAGCAAATTTTCATTTGGTTATCGATTACATCTAACATCCTTACGCATTTAGTTTATTTATGTTGAACTCTTTTGTTGGAAGCTCTAATAATTCAGTGCATGTTTTCCTTTTCTTGTAAGAAATGTGCTCTCATTTTGTATGAATATTTTTTTGAGAATTGTGGAATGACGTAGGGGAATACACCATACTGTATTTGGCAACCTTGGCTGGGAGGGAATCGAAATTTGGTTTTCATTCATTGGGTTTGTGGCTTTTCCATACTTTGAAACGTTTTGTGTAGAGTTGCAGAAGGCGCTGTCACACATTTATCTGATGATGAGGACATATTTTTAGTTGTAATTCACAGTTTTATACAATTACAATATGGTCGCTATAAAGGAGTTGTAAAATTAGTGCTGGATAGGTTATAAATTGACTGTGGGACTGAGCGCAATGTTGGGATCATCTATTCGACAGGTAGAATAGGTATGATGACTGTTTTTGGATTTTTTTGGTAGATTTCTTTTCTACAGTTAAAAATTTCAGATCGGTGCCCGCCTTCGCGATGCTTCAGTTACTTCGAGTGAATTGTGTGAAGCTGCCGTACGGCGAGCTGAAAAAATTAAGGAATTGAATGCGTTTGTTACCGTAACGAAAGATGTTGCATTCGATGGAGCCCAACAGTCAAATTTTCGATTTTCGAAAGGTTTTACGTTATACTTTTTTCCTGTACATTAGCAATTACTTGAATATATATATATATATATATATATATATATATATATATATATATATATATATATATATATATGGTCAAATTAAGCCAAACCAATTTGGTACATTGTTAAAATGAGTTTCATTGGGTTTTAGGGAAACCTATTGGACCTCTTGATGGAGTTCCTATTGCGGTGAAAGATAACTTTTGTACTCAGGGAGTGCAGACTACTTGTGCTTCAAGAATGTTAGAGACATTTAATCCCAAATATAATGCCACTGTTGTTCAAAATCTGTTGGATGCAGGTGCTGTATTGTTAGGGAAATGTAATATGGATGAGTTTGCAATGGGGTAAGAAGATATTTTTTGTAATAATTATGTTTTCATTCTCATGATGTACTATAGAAAATGTTGAATTTGAAAATTTCTGTGGCAGGAGTGGTACTGTTGATTCATTCTGTGGACCTACAAAAAATATATGGCGATCGAAGTTTGATCCCTCAGTCCAAAAACAAAATGCTAGTGGGGATGGTCCTAATAGCCAAGATTGGCATAATTGGCATATTGCTGGAGGCAGTTCAGGAGGCTGTGCTGTGGCTGTGGCAAGTGGGGCAGTATTTGCGTAAAGATCTGCTTAATGTTCTAGTTGCTATTATATAACCATGTTTGTTAACATCAAGTTTTCAACATTTTCAAGTGTAAAAATTGAATAAGACTTCCCATCGAGTTGAGTAATTCTTTTTTGTATTAGTTATTTCCAACTTCATATAGTATGCCTGGTTTTCTAGATATCTTGAAATAAAGCCCAACTATTTTCCTGAATTGGAGATGTATTAAAAGTAGAGGTGCAATAATATAAAGACTTGAAACTTAGTTCAAGATGAGAATTAATATTATGAATCATTTAATTAATCATAAATGAGCCCTAATTTGTTTTAGCCTAAAGATTTCAAAATTGGAAGGAAAGTATTACAACAAATAAGTATTACTTTGACTTGATTTCAAAGTTAATAAAACAGAAAATGTGTTATGAAAAAACTTGCTCAACATGACATTTTTCCATTATTTTTCAATAGAGGTCACGGGAAGGTTTTTAAAGAATTGTACGTGCCCAATTTGGTGACTCTCTTAGGAAGCTAACCATAATTTTCTCACTAATTGAATTAAGAGTTCATTAATTATTTCAGAAATTTTATTTTGTGTAGTATATTCAATGTTCTGAAAATATTGTATTATATGAAATTGAGGTCTGGATGTAAGTGGCGTTTGCTTAATTATTGAAAATTATGGATTCAATGTTTAGGAAGTGTTCTCTCCCCCGCAGCAATATTATTCTGTAACTGCTGATAATATTTTGAGTATAGTAAACATTGGCATACTTTTCGTTTTATCTTCCTTGAGTGCATTTATGATGAATTAATTTTTAGGAATAATAATGATATTTCAACAAATTTGCGCATGTACACATTATGTCAAGACATTTTTACTAAAATGTAGAGTTAGTTTAGAGTTACTTTAGAGTATCTGCTTATAATTCCAGGAGGTAAAAACAATTATTGAATCTGCCTGATTTTAATTTATTTTTTAATGTGTAATCATACTTGTTGGTGAAATGCATTCTGTTTGTATATGTAGGGCTTTAGGCTCTGATACTGGCGGTTCTACCAGAAACCCAGCTGCATATTGTGGGCTTGTGGGATATAAACCAACTTACGGTCTACTTTCACGACATGGGCTCATTCCTCTTGTGAACTCTATGGATGTTCCTGCGGTTCTTACTAGGACTGTAGATGATGCTATTCTAGTTCTAGGTAAGATTTACAATCTACATAACGTGGGTATGGTTAATATCTGCTATTCTTCTTCCAAATATAATTCATACAGTCAGTACTTTGCTCTTAATGTTTGGTGCTGTGATATGTTAAATACAGTTTTCTTGTTTGTGGTTATGTATCATCAAATTTGTCTTGTGCTTTTGAGGTACTGTTTTTTTACAATTCTTTTATTTATATACAAGTAAGGAAGTGGTAGAATCTAAAGATTTGATGTGCGGTTTACAATTGGCAATACATGCTAGTATCCTTAACATCTTTTTCTGTGTAATGAAGATTTTTATGGAAAAGTTATGTTATAAAAATATTAGTCCAAAATAATGATAAAATATAATTCCATAAGCAACACGAGGATGAAAATAATGGGTACAAAAGTTTAGGGATTTCTTTAGTCACTTTATACTTGAAGGTTCTAATAGCAAAACAAACTTTATTGAGTTTTCTATATAAATCATCTATATTTTTTTCTAATTTTAATTTTCATGTAACCATTCTTCTTGGGTTTGTGTTCATGATCTATATTTTATAATTTATTGTTATTTATTTCTATTCCTTGAAAGTTCAAAGTTTTATTTAATTTGTGTTGAAAACCTATTAAAACCATTTTCTCAACAGTAAGTATTAGTTTGCTTTTGTAAAAACATTGACAGTACTTTTGCTTTCATGGTTTCCAGATTGTAGGTTAACTTGTCCTTTTTTGCTCTAAAATCTGCAGTCTTGTATCATCTGTAAAGTGTATTATTTTGTAATGAGTTGATGTGTCTTCTTATTTGTGTATATTAAATATAATAGAGAGCCGAGAATTGATCCTTGAGGTACTCATGTGTTGATTTGTTTGTTCCGAATGCTTCTGAAAGTCTGTTGTTCTTAGTACACAAACAAGTTATTTTTGCAATTTGCATTTCTACAAATTGCAAATTTAGATATGACTAATTATGTTAGTGGAATCCTCCATAAACAAAGTTTTTCCTGTTTCATTAATAGAATGCCTTGTTTTAAGATAAAAAGCCATGTATAGTTCAGAGAAAATTACTGACACATTTCTCTTTGCAGTCTAGTTTATTATAGAGATCCAATGAATTTCTGCATTTCTGATTTTTTTCATCAACTTGTATAGAACCTCCAGTGAGCTTCATGTAGTACATTATTATTATTATTATTATTATTATTATTATTATTATTATTATTATTATTACTATTATTATTACTATTATTATTATTGTTGTTGATTTGATTTGTCACTTCCTTAAGCCTTAAGTATAACTTAGTTTTCATATTAACCAGTTTCCAACTAACATATCTTTTTATTTATTTACAACTTATTTGTAATTCTAGATAATTGGATGATTTTGATTTCTTTCTGCCTGTTGAGTTTCCTTGGAAAAAATAAAATACCAATAAAAACAATTCATGTCAAACAGTACTGATGATGGGTGAAATACAATCAACAACAGTAATACAAAAAAGAAAAAAGAATACAAAACAAGCGTACAATGTAACACACCCCTCTCTGAAAAGTACAAGTACTTAGAGAGGGTTTGAAGTGTACTAAATAAGATAAAATAAATGTAATAAATATATTTAAATTTAAAATTTAAACCTGAGAATTTTTACCGAAAGGTTAAACAGGATGTGTAACGTATGTAAAGTAGTCAAACAAAATTGGTATTCTTTCTTATTGTTTTTTATGGTGATGGTTTTTGTACACTGTCAATGTAATTCTTTTGGAAATAAATTATTATCATCATCGTCATCATCATCATAAAAAAATGTATGTTAGAATAAGCTACTTCCTTTAAAATTTTGGAAAAGGGTGATGGTATTAACGTAGATCTATAATTTCGTACTTCATTGGGTACCGGTACTTTATGAATTGGAATCACATAAGCTATTTTCAGCATTTTAGGAAACACCCCAATGTTTAATGACAAATTAATCAACTAAGTATGATTGCACTTTTTTTATTAGATAGATGGAAAATCTATAAGCTATGTAATTTGGTGCTCTCCTGGGTTTTTATTATGAAATTTATTGTAAGAATATCTGGGAGCAAAGCAAATAAATGACGAATAATGTTGTGATACTCTATGTGATTGTTTGAAAGGTTATTTTTAAATTGTAGTTGAAATTTGTCTGTAGTTCCTGTGAAATCGTCATTGAATTTATCAGTCTTTTTGCTATTAGTTCCGGGGATGTGAATATTATCCACTATTTCTGAGAGTTATTTATTTTTTCCTATCTGTCCCACATTATTTTTTATTTATTAGCTTAATAGCTTGAGCAATGAACTTTTTATGTACATTGTTTTGACAGTAATTGTATATTCTTTGAAGTAGTTCAGAGCCTCAATCAACACTGTTTTTCCACTATAAATTTTGAAAGAGTTCTTATAGTTTGACTAGACCATGAATGCCCTTTGTGATCCATTTCTTTGCTGTTGTTGTTTTTGTATGGTTAGATTTAAGCAATAGGGAAAATGGAATACATTCTTTGTATACCAAATTTACATCTAAATTTCTGTTCTTCTTTTGATAGTACATAGTTCAGATAATGTTTGACTCCTCACGGTTACTCTTGTTAGATTTCTCACCATGATTGCTAGGCCTTAGGTGTTCACTTTCTGTTTATTGTCAGGAAGTTTAAATACAGATCACCTACAATGAGAGGTTTAATTTTTATATTGCTAAAGTAATTAAGAACTTCTGAGAATGAGAAATACTTCTATGGTATCTATATGAACATATTATTACTACTGATGGGTTTTTATTTTCTCTACACTAAATTCAAAATACTTTTCTATATTTAGATACTTAAAAATTTAAGTGGAACCGTAAAAATAGTGTTTGTACATTAGAGTGTGAGCATCTGAATGTAATACATATGCGAAGTTTTCAAGCTGGCTGGAGAATATTACACTATGTATACACAGGTCAAGAATTATATGTGCTTAAGAGTTTATAACAAAATCTTGTATGTTTCTGTCTCAGAAACCCATAAATTAATGTTGTTTTATGTGTTACTAACAAATAATGATAAACAAGCATTTACAATGTCAAAGCTCACTGGCTGTGTGACATGTATTTTGCTCACATATCGAAGCACTTACAATTATAAAATATTATATATGTATCATAAGTATTACTTAGAAATAAGTAAATTGTGCAGAACTTGCAAAATAAAATCGGAAATAAACAGATATTCCAACTGATTCTAATGCTGTCATTTAAGAATTATTGCTAATAATATGTGATAAGACACTAGTAAATTATAGTACACTAGCTGAAGTAACCTGCATTGCCTGGGCATTTATTAATTATAATCATCTATCACATCTCAAAAATAGTCTACATCAAGCGACTAAAGAAGCACTTGGTGAAATACCTTTAAAAAAAAAGGATAGGGAAGAGCTATTGTATTACTCAAGACCTGGAGCAGGAAATAGAGGAGAAGAAGAGACTGTATGAAAAATGGTTGAGTACCAAGAAAGAAGAAAATAGAGAGGAATATAAAATCCAATGAAATTCAGTTAGAAACATCATAAGAAAAGAAAAACAACAATCTTGGTAGCGTAAACGTCAAGACGTAGAAATGTACAAGGTAGAACAAAAACAAGTGAGATTTGGAAGTTCCATAAAAAAAGGTAAAATCTCCCCAAATGGAAAAAGTCTGCATACAAAGTATATCTGTAAGCAAATGGGAAGAGTACTTTAGGAAATTATTAAATGAAGGAAGGTCAGGCTTTCTTGGAACTACAGAAAGGGAAAAGATATCTCCGGCAAGAGAAATTACAGTAACCGAAGAGAGGGTTAAGAGATGTATCAAAGAAATGAAAGGCGGTAAGCCTCCGGGTCCAGGAGAAATCCCAAGCGAACTGATAAAGAATGGAACACCAAAGCTAGTGTGAATGATGATGAAGCTAATGAATAGGTGTATAAATAAAGGTGACATACCAGAAGACTGGAAAATGGCTTATATAACACCAATACCAATAAAGGAAGGAAAGACATATGTGAAAATTATAGAGGAATAGCAGTGACAAAAACATTCTGTAAGGTATATGGAAGACTATTAAAAGAATTAATAGAACAAGGAGTACGAAGAAGAAGAACAAGTGGTTTCTAGGGCGGGCAGATCTTGCTTAGATAACCTGTTTTGTCTGTCCCAGGTGATGTAAAAGAAATTGTAACAGGGGAGAACTTAACATGGTCTTCCCTTAATATAGCAAAGGCATATGATAGTGTGCCAGTAATAAAGTTATGGAAGTTATGAATAAAAGTAATGTAAATAAAATCTTAATCAATGCGGTGAAGAAATTGATATAGATCAAAAGGAAAAGTGAAAGTTAATAAACAGATGACCCAAGCATTTCCTGTATCAAAGAGACTATGGGCAAACGGCAAGGATGCTGTTTGTCACCTACCTTTAAAATGATGTTAATGTGGTGGACAGTAATGGAAAAGAAAATGTATTGGGATGGGAATACCACTTGATGATAATACAATGCTCTATATCCTACAGTTCGCTGATGATCAGGTGCTGGTGGTGCAAGAACAGGAAGATATTGAATATATGACGAGGAAGATAAAAGAAGATTATTAAGCCTCAACCTAGAAAATAACAGTATACTGGCCTCTAGGCAGTACACATGACGTGTTGACTATGGAAACTGGAGAAATAAGAACAACAGAGGACATAAAGTACTTGGGAACAACAATAGGAAAACAGGGTTTTAATGAAAAGGAATGCGAAACCTGACTCATTAAGGAAGAAAAATTTTAGGAGCCCTAAATGCAATTATCTGGGATCCAAATAAAAGCAAGAAAATGAAATAAATGCATGATTGAAAGTGTTGCAATGTATGGAGCTGAAATATGGCAGCTTCCAGAACAACAGAAAATAAAATTGAGAGCTTTAGAAATGGATTTCCTCAGAAGAGCTGCAGCAATATCTAGAAGGGAAACAATAAGGAATGAACAGGTTAAGGAAATAATGAATCAACGTATTTTAGAGGAAATTGAAAAGAAACAACTCACTTGGTTTGGACATGTACTGTAAATGGACAAGAAAAGACTCCCCAGACGATCCTTAGAATGGCAACTTGTGAAAGGAGAAAACGAGGCAGACCAAGACCAGGATGGAACGACCAGATCAGAAAGATAATCAAGAAGTGGATATTAACTCCTGATTCTTGGAAGAACAGGTAAGACTGGAGGAGAAGATTAGGTGCCGGAAGACTGAAGTAGCGGTTAAGAAAACTGCAAGAAGAAGAAGAAGAAGAAGAAGTAGATGGTCATCTATTAGTGAGGAAAAGGAATGAATTTTATGTATGGGGTATCCCTACCTCCACCACCTGCCCCCATGGCCTGCCCTGCCCCATCCTTGCCCTGCCATGCTTCACCCAGCCTTACCTGGCCTGCCGTGCCGTGTTTATGATCATCTTTGCAGTGGACAGTGTAAACAGAAGCATTGTTTGCTTATCTCTGGCAAACTTCCTGTCATGTTTTTGAATTTCAGTTACTCTAAACCTAATGGCACAATTGGAATGAATGAAAATGCACTTAGTAGGAAATTTTACGGGCTTCCAGAAATGTTCCCTTATTTAATAGTACATTATAAATTGAAAAAATGTAGCCCAAGTTATGTTCAACAATAAACACTACCTTTGAGTGAAAATTGCATGAAAATCGGTTCTGCTGTTCCAGAAACTTCCCCCAGAAAGACAAAACTAAATAATTCATAAATCAATTGAAATAGTTTTCTTCATTCAAATAAGCCTATAAAATTTATAAAAGGACAGTAATTTTGAAATCACAGACACACGTATCCAAATGTATTTATATAGATTAGTTCTTATCAGTGTGTGTTCATATTGAGAACATTTCTCTGAATGTTTTATAGACACTGTTGCTGGTTGGGATGCTAAGGATTCAACATCTATTACTATTGATGAGAGACCTGCATGTATTGTGAATGATCAAAATATACAAAACATTTGTGTTGGCATTCCAACTGAGTACCATTCTCCAGGTCTTTCAGAAGAGGTCTTAGAAGCTTGGAATATAGTGGCAGACATATTTGAACACGCAGGTGCCAAAGTAATACAGGTATTTAATGTGAAAATAATTAATTATTTTCAGTATATGGTTGTATATTGGCTTGTTTCTTTCACTATACTATTTTCTCTCTTTGTGGAAATTATTAGCATTGTTTCATATACTTGGACTACTAAAATTTAATTACATTTTTGAAATCTTTCATGTTTTCAAAGTGTTGTACGTCTGAATTAAATTTCTCAAAATACAAAATATTAGAAATAAAAGATATATTTGTAGTGTATTAAATATTGTTTATATACAAAACATTAAAAAAAATATTTATGTTGTGGAAGTGATTTAAATATTTTAAATACTGTAAATATTTAGTTAACCAGATATGTTGAATATACCTTCTTTTGGAATCTGAAAACTCCTTCAAATGTTTTGGCCTTTTCCTGAGGAGCTCTCCATTTCTTTTAATCTTGGACTTGTTCAGTTCCTACTTTTTACTCTTCTGACAGTTAACACACTGTCCGAACTTTTGGACTTCCTTTCTTTTGGGTTCAGAATGGTTACCAATTAAATTTATTTTCTTTCTTTCTTTCCTTTTCTTCTTGGCTACAGACTCAGAGCTTTAAAATGGTTTACAATTGCGTTATTTGTAATTGTTTATTTCAAAGTTCTTTCTGATTCTCCAGTGTTCTTTATTGATCCCTAGATTCTTATAATTCTTCTTCCTAAAATTCAGGGCAGCCTTGTATATCGTTGTTCACATCACATCTCAGCTGCATAATATGTAGCTGTTATGTTATGTTACTGCCAATCAGATAACTGCTTGGTATAATTTCAGTTTTCTTCTTATAATAACAGTCTGTTTCTATATAGTTATTTATGTGAGAAATATGTTGTATATCTAGTATGACATATATATTTTTTAAAAAGGTAAAAGAAACGATTATGGAAACCACTGAGGTATTAGCCTTATAAATGCTGCTTGTATGGTATTTGCAAAAATAATCAATGCTCAATTGAAAATTATTACAGAGGTCAAATTTCTCAAATAAGAGTTGGGAGTTAGGAAAGAATGCTTATGTAATGAAAGCATTTTCAGTATTACAAGAATCTAAGAAAAACAGTGAAAAGTCTATTTGAAAACAGGTATAGTCTTTATTGATTTCGAGAAAGCTTTGAATAAGTGTTGATCATCAAAAACTATGGAATACTTGCTGGTATCTTGTGCATTGCTGCCACAGAAGAAATAATTGTGGAAATATCTTTTAAAATTTGAAAGATATCTTGTTCTTTTTCTTATTTAGGAGTTAACTAATTCCCCCTCTCCCCTCTCTCTCTCTCTTTTTCCTCTATTTATCTCCTTTCTCTCTCTCTCTCTCACCTCCAACTATCTGCTTTCTCTCTCTCTCTCTCTCTCTCACCTCCAACTATCTGCTTCCTCTCTATCTTTTTCCTATAATTCTCTCCGTTTTCCTACCTCTCTCTCCCTCTCTTTTTCCTGTTCTGTTTTTCTCTTTGTCTTTTTCTCTCTCTTTTCCTTCTCCTCTCTCATTCCTGCTCTCCCCACTCCTCCTCTCCTCTGTCTCAACCCACGACACACAGAGACTCTGAAACAATGAAGTTTAGGTGCATTGAAATGAAGCGACATCTTGTGCTACACTGCTATCTTACAATAATTGTACTATGTCTGTATTCTTCCCACACGTGCAAACAATAATTCAACAAAGTTTTATCACAATGGGATTAATGGTATGGCAGCACATTAAGCACGAACCAACAACTAACATTTATTTTATATATTAGATAATGAGTAAATGGCTATCCTGAACATCTCATAAAAAACATAAGTTTATATAGAGACACAAAAATTTTTATGAGTACTGGAACAAAGAAGACGAAAGAAATCTCATCAGAGAGGGTACTTCAACAAGGATGTGGTTTTATCTCTAAGTCTTTTTAATAGTAGTGTAGAAATAAATGGAAATATGTAGATAATCCTGGAATACAGTTGAAGAATACCAAACGTCTAAATCTTAATCTTTATGGTGATAAAGTAACAATATTGCAAGAAAGTGAAGAATCACATAGAGCTCTATATAAACTACATAAACTTGGTGAAAAGTGAAAATCAGTATAATCTCCCAATATCTAAAAAGAAGACTAAAGTTTTAAAACTAAATAACTAAAAAGAAGACTTATGGTAAATACCCTGTACACTCATAAGTAGTAATTAATGACTGATTGATACGATTTCCAATTTTAATTATCTTGGCTGTGATATCAGTAATGACTTGGAGAAAGACATAAAAATAAAAAGAATAAATTTCAATCTGTGTGGAATAATAAACAAAACTCCTCAGAATAAATCAAGGAAAAACACAAAAATGAAATTGTATAAGACAATGACTGCTCCAGTTCTCTTGTGTGGAAGCGAATCATGGATCATTAATGAGAGATCAAAGTAAAATTCGAGCAGCTGAATTGAGATTTATTAGAAAAGACTGTTTAAAATAAAACCATTTAAAAAACGATAATTTGATTCGAAAAGAACTGGGTGAATATAATATAAGTGAGAAGATAGAAGAATACAGAGAATTTTGGAAACAACAAGTTGAAAGAATGGATGAAGAAAGAATTCCACGACTTGTGAAGAAGTATCATCCGAAAGAATGAAAAGATGTTGGAAGCCTCAGGAAGAGATGGTCTTGAAGTGCAAGCGAAGATGGAACAGCCACTAATGCGTAATCCTTGAAAGGAAGAAGAAGATGATATGCTGTATTTCTTACTGCGATTCTTTCTCAGATTCCTTCCATTGTTTGTTTCATTTATCTTCAAGATTAGGTCAGCGAAAAGATCAATTTCTAGCGTAGCGTTTATTAGTGAAATATTTGTGATTTTATGTGCACCTGCTTTACACTTCGTAAATGTAGTTTTCTATTGTTCATTGAAGCCTACATTGCACTGCTGTTTAAGCTTCATGAATATTTCTTCCACGCTTTCCTTGCTGTTAAAAGTAATCATCCCAATATGCCAGACATTGTTTCAGCATTGTAGTTCATTAACATACATTTTAAAGAGGTAGGTGACAAACAGCATCCTTGCCGTTTGCCCCATAGTCCTTTTGATACAGAAATGCTTGGGTCATCCTGTTTATTTAACTTTCACTTTTCCCTTTTGATCTATATACAATTTCTTCACCGCATTGATTAAGATTTTATATTACATTACTTTTATTCATAACTTCCCATAAACTTTATTACTGGCACACTATCATATGCCTTTGCTATATTAAGGAAGACCATGTTAAGTTCTCTCCCTGTTTACAATTTCTTTTACATCACCTGGGACAGACAAAACAGGTTATCATAAGCAAAGATCTGCCCGCCCTAAAACCACTTTGTTCTTCTTCTTCGTACTCCTTGTTCTATTAATTCTTTTAATAGTCTTCCATATACCTTACAGAATTACCTTTCACATCAATATGAGCTAAAGTTACTTCTGTTGAAATACAAAGAGGGGTCATGAAAATGAATTGTTGTGTTTGATCCTAAACTCAACCTAGAATTCATTGTTGGTTACCCACTCCTACTTCGGCTTTAGGTATCTTTATTACTTTTAATAATTTATTGGTATTTGATTTTTCTCAAATTTTCAGTTATTTTATTTCTCAATACTGAGTCAAAGGTTTGAAATCAATAAATCTGTTTTGTCCAAAAGCAGATTCACTTTCATTAAATTTATATTCTATGATTCCAACTAATCTGTTAATTAATACAGTAGTAATGTTTTATATTTAAGAGACCATTATCACAGATAACCAACACATCCAGTGATGCATAAAATGTATCTACACCAAACAATGCAACTGTAAGTGCGAGAAATCTTAATTCATTTATTAAGAGAACTTTATTCATCACTTAAGATAGGGGAATTAAACCCGCTTTACCGCCAATAATAAAGAAATTAGAAGAACCTTTGAATTTTTCACTTTTCACGTCCGCCTTCAAGAATGAAGAATCATCCAGTGAAAATTGCAACATTGTAGATATAAATCTTCAATGGATGTGAATGGTTTAGGTGCCAGACATGAATTTTTGCATTCGCTTCAGAGAGACCACAATTTTGACATTTTGTGTGTTCAAGAAACAAACTATAAAACAAATTTTCATGAGAAGATCAAAGGATAACAACTGTTACTACAAAAAATCGAACAGCGTGCATAAATGCTAGTGGAGGAGTTGCCGTTATGTGAACGAATCGGCAGTCGGTGATGAAGTACAAATAAGTTATTTGGAAGTTGTTGGTGTGAAGCTATATCTCGGAAATAAGTGTTTTCTATTTATGTAATTCATACGTACCTAATACCTTTTTCCTTTAAAATAGTGATCTTGAGAACATTGTGCAGTAAGTTAACAAACCTATTATTTTGGTAGGCGACTTTAATAGTCGTTTATTTAAATTGGGGCTCCAAAAGAACTGATTCCAGAGGAAAAATAATTGGTGAATTTGTAGAGCAGGAAGATGTAGTAATATTAAATGAAGGTAATAAACCTACATACTTGAATGTGGCAGCAAGAACTTCAAGGGGTCATAGATTATTTAAGCATGCTGAATCTGGTGAGATACCTTCAATGGAATGTATGCGATGACCTATTTAACAGTGACCATTTCCTATTGTTGTGACCTTTGATCACTCACACCAAAAGTAATCCATACATCCAGATGGATATTTAAGAAAGCTAATTGGCAACTTAATTCAGCAAAGAATCAATAATAAAATCAATATTTTTTTAATAGCAATTTTACCTTGATCATAAACCAATTGATAATATGCTTAGATGCTTTGAAGAAATAGTTATATGTAATGCCAAGAAACTATTCAAAAACTACCTAAGGCAAGTAGGAACCTACTATGGTGATCAAAAGAATGTGAGGAGACACTTAAAGAAAGCAACATTTGTATGGTGTCTTATAAAAAGACAATTCAGATGAATATAAAATTTGGTTTATATCTGCTAGAGTAAAAATAATGTTGGAGAGAATTTCTTTCATCCATAACTGAAAGATGAACAGCAAAGAAGCATGGAATAAAATAAATGCCATAAATGGAAAACCTAAAATGACTACCTTAAAAATTATATACTCCGCTAACAGCACTAACATGCAAGAGCCACAGATATTGCCATGGCTTCAAATTGTTTGCATCAAATTCCTTCCAATCATCAAAATGAAAAAGACATTGTTAAGTATAAGAGAATATAGAACTGATCGTGAAGAAGTATGGTACAAGTAACATGGAAAAATTATAGCAAAAAATAAAATTGGGTTACCAGTAGTCACCATGAATTATTTTTCCTGTAATTGTCATTTATGGCATTCATTTGCCCATTAATCCTTGTTCTTTCTTATTTTTAGAGATTCTCTTTGTTCTTCTCTCAGTTTGATAATTCTCATTATTGTCTTCTTGCCTCAAATTGTTATTCTTTCTTACATCATTTGTCTTAACTTTATATTCATCATTCCATCATTAATTTTTTCTTTTTCTATTTATTAATCTCATGTTCTTTAGCTACCTTCAGGTTTTCCTATAACTTGTTTATTTCTTCATAACCTCTGCAGTTACCACTGTTAGAAAAATTTACTGTCTTAGTATAGCGATTAAATACAAAATGTTATTTTGTGTAAAATGAATGTATTTTAGTTCTTAGGTATCGTTGCCTCATACACCAGCATCAATGCTTGTTTATTCTGTACTTAATCAATGTGAAGTAGCTAGTAATATGGCTCGCTATGATGCTATTGGAATTTGGTTTACGATTCTTCAGAGAGTGAATCTAGTGATGAACTTTTTGCATCTTCACGAAGAAAGGATTGGAGAAGTTGTGCGAAGTCGCGAGTTTAGCTGGAAATTATTTCTTATTACAAAGGGGCGTATGAATGTTTGTTAATATTTATTGATCGTGTATTATGAAAGCATTATTTTTAATGTAAAACAATATACATCAAAGTACACAACTCTTTTGTAAAAAGTGCAATTCTAAAATGTCTTAAATTTAATTTAATTTTTCAAAAAATTCATGTCTGCGATTCCTGATAGTGGTAGTCCACTTAATCCTGCAACATTTTTTTTAAAAATTGTACTTGTACAAGTATTTATTTAACCATGTATTTGAAGTAAATCTGCTGTTCACGGTTTCATCAAATCGGGAACTTGAACGTCCCAATAGTGATGTCACTGTAGCAACATGATTGGATGAAACCACTGCACCGGATATATGTCATGGGCACGACTAAATAAGTTGTACTGTAGTTTATTTAATCACTGGTATGTCCATAGTTTTAACAGTCTGGCAGCGGCCTCATGCTCTGTTCTGCTTCAAAAGGATGTATTTTTGATAGCATCTCATTAAAACATAAGTTAGTTCCATGAAAACACATGAATAGCAAATATTTAAAGGTGTGTTACATCACCCTTGGAGCTTTATTGTCATGTCAGCGGTATTATAAGCAGTGATGCATCAAGTATGAGAATGCAGATGCTAGTACAGTATGATAACAGGTGGAAGAACGTGAAAGATACTGAAGATAAGAGCAAATCAGATGGTGGGATAATATAGAAAGTTAAAAGTATTCAAAGTTTCTGTAGATATGAAAATTGTTCGCATTTTAATGAAAGTGTAAAATTAATTTTGAATTTTTTTTCTTTCTTTAAGAAATTACACAAAATATTTTGTGCAAGCCCTAAAGGTTCGCAGACTTATTGTTAACGATTTTGAACGAGTGTGGTCCTCTGGAGTGGATGTACTTCTGACTCCCACTACCCTAAGTGATGCTCCACAATACAAAGATTTCATTCGTTTGGAAAATCAGCAACAATGTGCGATGCAAGATTATTGCACACAACCTGTAAATCTGGCAGGTGAGCTAGGTTATAAAGGTTTAAAAGAAAAATTGTCAGAATACATATATTTCCTTTTTGTATTCTCTTCTAATTAATTCCTTATTGTTTTAGGATGCCCAGCCATTTCAGTTCCCATAAAGTTGTCAAAAAATGGACTTCCTATTAGTTTACAGTTGATAGGGAAGTTTTCTAATGACAGAATGTTGCTTTCGGTTGGTAGGTTTATTGAAGATGCTGTAAAGTTCCCTAGACTAAACTTGAATGATTGATATTAAGATGTAGTGTAAATATAAGTAGTAAAAATATTTTATATTTGTAAATGGTTCTCTTTCATTGAAGTTTGTGACTTAATGATCTAGGGCTGAATTCATAGTCATCTCGTACACTGAGTGTTCCCTAAAGTGAATGAATCATATTCATAAAGAGCCCTTGACTGAAGTCTTAAGTGAGCACTCATTCCTATAAGCAAGGCAGCCTCTCCCTTAAGTGTCCCTTATGGCTCCCTCACATCGTCAGTCGTAACCAGTTTAGGTTATACTTTTACGCTGAGTTTACCGACTATTGAATTCGTTTTGCTGGTGTTTGTAGAGTGTAGGTAGTTAAAATCTATCATTTGTGAAACGTGTTATGGAAAACGACTTCAAAGATTATTTTGAGTTATACTCAACACATTCTGCGAAATTCGGAGAGATGTATCAGAGATATGAGCAACCCATTAGAAATGTAGAATGATGAACAATTCCGAAAGCGGTTTCGTTTCAATAAAACTACTGTGGTGGATACACTTGTGCCGATTGTCGACAAAGTCCCAATGACTAAACGAGGATTGCTGATTTCCCCCTTATTAAAAATTCTCGTTTCATTAAGATATGCAACTACATCCTTCAGGAATGTTTCCAAAACTTTTAACTTTTATTCATTACCGATTTATAAGACCTATTATAAGTAATTATGAATTTCGCAATATGAATAACAAGTGAAGTAATTTAAATTGTTGTAAAATGGAATTTATGTTAGTGGTATAAGGGGTTGACATATTCAATTACATGAAATATTAATAATCTATTACCAATATTGGCAGACGTGTCCATACCATGTTACCATACCACCACCTTATGTTTATTAGTTATACTAGAGCATACGTTAACGTTGAGGAATCAATTGAAACTGATGTTAAGTATTATATTACAATCCAATAATGCACATAAATAATGTGTAGAAAATGCACCACACATTGCAGAAATTCATTAAAATTTTGATACAAGGTTCATGAATTACATTTTTTCCAAACTTTTATTATCAGGAATTTATAATACATTTTTAAAATATTAACATGATACCAGTGTCAAATAGTCATTGAAATTATAGGAGAATCTTAATTATATTGTTACAAATCTGCTTGTTATTAGCGATTGGTAGTAATCACATTAGTAAAATATCAAAACATCTCGTTTTGTCTGTATGAGGACATATTAGACATGCAGAAGTATTTTGTTGTGCGCGCTGTATTGTAGCTCAAGAAAATGTTACTTACCATACCAATACCATGTCAGAAAAAGTGCCCAAGTGTATTGAACTAGAATGTTCTAGAACTGCACTGTTACATTTAATTTTAATTCTCTCATGCAAAGTTCAATAGAATGAAGTCAATGCAAAATCATGAGAATTTTAAAGGATTGTGGTTAAGGAAATCAATTCAAACAAAAAAAATACAATAAAATTCTTCAATTATTTTATTGAGTAATCACTTAAAGACAATTTAGACATTACCAATCTTGAAGATGATTCCAACAGGAATAGCCAAACAGAAATACTAATGCCACCAGCTATTTCAGTGGGCCAACTCGCAATTGATCCAAAAGGTACTGTCCACTCTGAAGGCAAAATAATTGCTGGTGTGTATTTGTAATTCCAAATAATAATTAAAAGAATAAGTGCCTGAAAATTGAATAAATTATATAACATTAGCATTTGATGATTATCACTATGTTTCATCACAGGAATTTCATCAGAATATTTTAGAGAAAAGTAATTTTTCAAATGCTGTACCCCAGCAGTGAAGTACAAAATGCACATATATTGCTATTATGGTATATTTTAACTTTTTTTTCAAATGTCATTGCCTTTCCTGGGGATTTTGAACAAGGAAATTGTCCAAAATAATTGTGGGAATTCTGATGCGGTATTATGAACATCATTCCATGAAGAAATATTGCAAGTCATCCATCAACTTAATATGTTTACTTAGAGAGCTTTGCCCTCAACATCAGTCTTGCTGTCATAGCAACAGTGTCACAGAGACGACTTCCATTATTTCTTCATATCAAAAAGACGTAAATCACGAAGTTGGAGTCTAAGTATATCTGTCTTTGTAAAGACAAAATATCTTTAAAGTGCTCTCCTGCCATAGATGAATGAGACATTGTGCTCCTTACCACTGAAGTGCAAAATTATACTTACATAAATTACTTGTACGACATATTTCAGGGTTAGCTTCACTTTTAAATAATGTGACATACGAATACTTCCTGAAATTGAAGTTAAAAAGAAACATGTTCAGTTATAGTTCACATGGTATTACAAAACAATTAATGAAACATATTTGAAATAACTTACTAGCTTCTGTTAATTGTTCTTGGACTTTATTAAGTTGACGTTGCAATTTTGCATACTTAGCAAATTCATCTATCATAGAGAGCCCATCTAAAGTTCTTTTCATTTCGTATTCTTGCCTGCGAAGTGATTGCTCGCCACTTGTTTCTTTGTAGATTTTGGGCAATATCTGGTTCCAATTAACATGAAATCAAATAAATTATACAAATAAACAGTTTGTATTTAACACTACTAAAATTTTGGTGTAATCAAATTTGCCATCAAAGTGAATTAATTTGATTGAAAATGAATATGGAAACAATTTATCAACTATGTTTATGACTTCTCACCCAACCAAATAAAGCTGGCAAAAGTGCCTTGATGGCACATACTCCTGTAGTCAGTACAATAGCATGCATTTTTATCTGAAACAAATTTTTCAGAAATTATTCCCGCACTGTTCACTTAATTTTATATTTGTGTACTGCAGACAGAGGGTGAAGTAAATTCTTATGTGTCTATCACTTCTTATCGAAAAGTTATACTAAACTCCTGTTTATCAACTCGTCAATACTATTTGTTAATGTGTAAAACAAATTGTGATAGTACTAATCTCGCATAGAAATCTGTGAATACAAGACAATGCCAACGGGTAACCGATTAAATTATAATTTTTAGGTTAATTACATGTACATTTTAAGGAAACCACTTACAATCTGTAAATAGTAAACTGCCCACTGAAAAGGTCTATCAATGAATAGAATTACCAATATATGATGGAATTATTCAAGAGTATAATAGTTTTCCACATTCACTTAATTTTCATAACGTAGCATGATTAAGTACGCACTAGTAAATAGAGCGACTACGAACACGTCTCATGCTCGCGATGCTCCGGCGTTAGTGCTGCGCTCGAACGGGCGGTCATAAATTAAACAACAGGGGGGAGGGGTGACGTAATACACTCGACCAATCATGTACGTTTAATATACTGTGCGGTATTTTTGAACGTACCGTCCTTGTGTAGATTATTTATTTTAGGGTTCTGGGAAATTAGGATACCATGCCTCGGAGGTAACTCAGAATGGCAAATAATTTAATAAAATAAAGTAACATTTATTAAAATTAAGTCATACGACAAAATTCAGAGAAAAAATTCTCCGAGTAATACAACTTGACAAATATTGATTTTAGAAATGTCAAAACATTCTAAATACTCTATAGTTAAATGTGAACGATAAATCAAAATATTAATATATAAAATGAAAATGCGGGATATCTCGAAGTGCCTCCAGAAAGAAATTCTTCCATGTGTCAATATGGAAATGATCACAAATCAATGTGCTATTATGAACTGCAGAACGGAATTAAAAACTGCTTCGAGACATCAAAAAATTGTGTTACTGGCGTTCCTGTTATATTCGACTATTACACTTTTTGCATTGTACAAAAACACATTACTCAGAAAATTACAATAAAATAATTAGATGAACACGATACCTATATTTAGGACCTTAAATAATAAAAATATCTAAAAAAAAAAAGGCCCTCTTTTCACCGGAACGTTACACCACTGTTCTACGCCAGGACATTGACACAACGAAATTGCTTGACTGCGACACGAAACGAGACGAAAACTCTCCACTACCCAGAGGAAGCCTGCGACATGACAGGCGAAACGTCGGCCTGTCAACCAACGACGCAATGTCACCCGGACAGCCAAGAAGTCACTTTGCGCAATTATTTGGCGGTCAGTTTTTGTCTGTTGTTTAAGAAAATTATATTTTATTCATTTTTTCAATAATTATTAATTTACTACTGATTTATGCTTTATTGTTATTTTTAATAATTTTATTGAGGCTTTCTTTATTTGCTTAATAATCAGATTCAGTAATACATTATTATTGTTATAAATAATGAAAGGCTTGGCGGTGAGTTATCTTTGTGATTTCTCTCTGAGCAGACTTTCATTTAAAAATAATAAGTTACGTTGGTGTTAGTAAATTGATAGGCAGTACCTTCCTACCTTCAGTATTACAGTTGTGTTTCTTAAGCATACTGGACAGAATCACTTATTGACGTTTCGTGTCTTGCTCATGATTTTGCTCACCTCTCCCTACCACACCCACAGTGCAGCGCGAAAAAGCCGCATACCTACTCGCCTAAGCTCTTGAATCAGGAATATATAGAAACAGGAAAGTTGCTGCAGCTTATGACCTGACGATCGTCTCCTCTGCTGCCTCAACATACGAGGTACGACTGTCTTAAAATGTGGCCAAAACACGCGGTTGCCAAATTGCCAAATCATGACAGTGCTCTCAGACATGGGTTGTGAGTTAAGCTAAATATTCTGTACATCAATCACATGCCCCGGAACCTACAAAAGCGCAAAACGGTCATATTTGCAGATGACACAAACATCATTATTAATGCAAATACCCAACAAACTCTAAAAAAAGAAGCACAAAGTCCTAGAGGCCCTAGTAAAATAGTTCCAGGAAAATAAACTCATCATAAACATCAGTAAAACTTTCGAAATCCACTCTCTAAAGAAAAGCCTCCGGCACATTTGATGATAAAAAATATGCCTCTATCAATAGCTCCAAAACAACTTTCCTTGGATTGACTATCCAAGATTATCTAAAATGGAACTCCCATATCGCAGATCTAAACAAGCTTACCAAGTCATCTTATACCATATACATCCTTAGGTCAAATTCTAACTTGGGATACACTGCGAATGGTGCAGTGTAAAGATTCACTCGCACCTAAAATACGGAATAATATTCTGGGGAAATTCCTCAGAAAGTATTCACAGTTTCAGCTTCCAAGAACGAATATTGAGAACAATCACGAACACTCACAAACCTGCGAACCACTGTAAAAATAATTACAAATACTACCATTCCCATGCATGTCCATAGTCTTCGCAAAGAAGACACTTATGAGAAACAAGGATTCTGTTGCTTTAAACATAAGTTCATAACTATGATACTAGACAAAAGATAAATCTGCATGTCCCACACAATGAATCTTCATTCTTTCGAAAAAGTACCCTTATAAAAGGCATTACATTATATAAAAAACTCCTTAAAGAATTTAAATGTTTAAATTTGATATATTCAAAAATAAACTCAAAGCTTTCCTGTTAAACCATACATTCTACAGTACGAAATAAAATATACATCATAAACACATATCTACATCAATCTAAACTAGTACTAATAATTTTTGCGTTTTCTGTTGCATGTTTTGAAAGCCCCCGCCCTCCAAATTGGTTGGAATATAAAGGACGGACCCAGCCCACGCTCGAATCTCCTATGAAGACGTTGTTCTGTTAATTTACTGTATTTATATTATTATTATTATTATTATTATTATTATTATTATTATTATAATTTTAGTCTTCTTACACTATCATTTATAACATTATTTAGCATTCCATTATATTATATTTAGTATGAGAATTTAATTGAATTTTAATTCCTGTCTTGCTTTTAATTTTTAGAAACACCTGTATTGAACATTGTATGATTATGTATATATCCTGACATGTCCCCCCCCCCTCACCACCACTGATTGATCTCCTTCTTAGTTTAGTAAGGTCGCCGTCCGTTCGAGAGCAGCACTGGGGTAAAGCTGATGCTATGAGCGAGCCTCCTCACGTAGTTTGCCACCTCTGGATTCTGGAAGCAATTACCGCTTTTGAGTGTTTGCGCATGCGCAAATTTTAACACGGTAAGGTGTGGTAAGGTGCTTCATGCTATGTAAAAAGTTGAGACGGGTTTTCCGAAGAGTGACGTTTAGATAATTTTGATGCTGTTTTTGTATTTGGTGTCAGAAGCGAGATGTGTTTCATGAATGGTTGCTTTTGCAGGTCATTTGTGCGCGCAAAGTAGTGACAAGAACTAGAGATTTAAATTGTATAACTCACGATCACAGGAACTGTCATCTGTTATATCTTTTGTGCGATGTAATTGCGACTTTCATTTGCGCGACCTTAAACGATGGGTACTGTTACTGCTCTCTTCTAAAGTATGTACCAAAGGATCTAGAATGCCTGTACACAAGGTAGTATAGTGCCGGTACGATTCAAAAAAATGGCAGGAGAAGTTGAAAGTTTCAGTTCATACTCTTTCACGAGACAGCCCAAAATCAACAGCAAGTCGAATGTAATTGTTTTATTGTTTTCCAGTGTTGTACACTTTACTCATAAGTTATGAGGTAATTTTATATATTAATTTGGCATTTCTGTGACTGACAGGTGTTAGAATGCCGAGTTTGTGAAGATGTATTTGGTTTGCAAGGAGACAAAGTTCCCAGACTTCTCTATTGTGGGCACACTGTCTGTCATGCGTGTTTACTTCGCCTTCCCTTGAGAGAAAATGCAGTTCAGTGTCCGTTTGATAGACAGCCTACGCCAGTAGGTTGGTATTTATATTTATAATATTGTGGCAATGTTTTTCAACAATTCAGTTTTGCATTTTATTTCTTGTAATTTTATTTATTTCAATTATTTATTTATGCTTTGCCAATTAATGTGCAAGATAAATTACGCTTTGTTAAGTTTGTAGGCTCAATGGTGGCACGAAAAAAGAAATCAAGTAAAGTTAAATTAGTTTCCTAAATTGCCAGTTTAGACAGCTCTTAAACTAAATCGAAACCTTGATAATCTCGGGTAATGGGAAAAGTGGGTTTGAAATAATTTTGCTTTCTTCAGTTCTCATTTCTCTTTATTTCATGATGTCATGGAATGTTCATGTTTACTGAAGTTCAGGAAGATATTAACTGCTTTCATTGTTTGATTTATCAGAATTTTTTTATTCTTTAGCACAGAACTGTCACTTGAATCATCATCACTCTCATCATCCTCTGAATTCATCCTGTTGTCAGGTAGATGGGGAACAACTAATGCTGGTAAAATTATCTTTTATGACACTGACACTTAAATGTTTGAATCTCTTTCCATTAACATTTTGCAGCCAATCTTTAATATTGTCTTTATACACATTAGTGAAACCTGGAACTGGACATGTCCAGTTAAAGACCTGCTTTTATATCTCCCTCATCTATATTTTCTTGTCAGGGTAGCCAAAATGTTAGATTTTTTCTCAAGAAAGTCATGTACATAAAGGTTGGATTTCCCAAATATCACATTCTACAAAAATGGCATCTTTTATGTATGCTACATGTTCAGAAGTTCTTTTATTAAATCAAACCTGTTTTTGCAAACAATTCAAAACAAAACTATTTTGGTTCCTTTATTTCAAACAGGAATACTCCTTAATCCTTTGGGATATCATAGAAGTCCCATTAGGTGGTATATATTAAAAAAAATTATCTTTATTTGTTTTCAAGAGAATTCTGGGAAATGTGAAGGGGCAAATTTTGAGCCAGAAGCACAGCTTTCTTCGTTTACTCATTCTAATATTTCATTACTTATAGTACAAAAACATCAAAAAGCTATTCATAAAAAAACCTGATTCACCCAAGTTTTTGAGTGGTTGTAATGATGACACTAATAACATCTCATTTTTGTTCCTTTAAAAGATCGTGATTTCTCAGCTTTCCCAATTACAGTTTATTTTGATCTTGTATATGCTTGTTGCATTTGAACATGTCATAATGATCAGTCATCCTCCATTAGATTGGTGTCGCACATTATTGGAGACTGCAATCATTTATCAAAAGCACAGTGATACTCTCACTGAGGTATTATTAGTCGAGCTGAATTAAGAAAGGTCCTGCATAAATTTTAAGAGCTTTCCATTAATCTAACGACGGACTTCAGGCAAGGAAACAACAGCTGCAAGGTCAGAACTGTAGGATGGGTGTTTGAGAACTTATTCTTTGTTTAGTTTCTCCCCATTTGCACATATTCTATGAGCAGATTCATTGTCATTCAAAAGAACTCCTTTCTTTGTATGCCTTTTTTTCAATTCTTTGTATAGACCATCCCGGACTACAGTACTATAGTGTGTTCCATTCATGATTTGACCTTCCAGTATACATTCAACTACAAATGGTCTTTCTTAGTTGATGAAAATTGTGAAAATCTTATTCTGTGATTTGAAATTGTGTTGAAAAACAACTGGTCTTTGTTCATTTTGAGCCACCTACACAGTTTTGGATTTTGTTTGGGGTGGTGAAGTAAAAACCAACTTTCATCCTCTGTACATGTCTGTCAGTCATTTAGTTCCATTTGGTGGAAATATAGCAAACAATGTTTTTTCTCATCTTGTCTTCTCGGTCAATGAATGAGGAATCCATTTTGCATTACAGCTGTAATTGGTCATTCAGAATGAGGGTCATCTTCCCAAGCTCTCCCTTGCCTGCTCAAATGAAAGAATCCATCTGGCATCTGGTGTCAAATGAACATCTTTGGATCCCATGAACTGCTTTCAAGTCTTCATGGATTTTCTTAGCCTCTTCACCTAGCTTGAAATGTGTAAACACGTAAAATCAAAGATTCTTAGAAAAATCCATTCCCCCCCCCCCCAGGTACACTCACTACACTAACATCTCAGACCTATTTCATTCAGAATGTGCAGGATTTAGCAGAAAATTCACAGAATTCAGCCATGCAGCCTACACTTGCAAAACGTCTTGAAGCACATCCGTAAATAACTAGTTCTGTAAACCATTAAATGATTACTCAATTTATTTCATTATATACATTATTATTGTTGTTATAATTATTATTATTATTTTTATTATTATTTTATTGTAATTATATTATGAGTACCAAAATATAATTTTTTAGTCTGCAAAATTGTATGTCTGAGGTCTTTATAAACATACTTATGTAATATTAAATTGCAAATTCACTCAACTTTTGTAAATTCACATCATTATTAATATTGAAACTTAAGCACAATTACAAACTCAGGTTTTGTTTTTGAAACCTTATTTATATTTGTATGTTTAAAAATTGTACTTAAAAAAGTGAAATAAATCTAATGGTTTTTATCAAACCTTATTCATATTTTTTGTCTTATTGTTATTTTAAATAAATTATGTTAAATTATTTGTATTATGATAATTTTGAATGATGTATATTATAGAAACAAATTGAAGAGGGCAGCAATTTAAAGCAAACCATTATTTTAAAAGGGGTTGACATTAGAAGTAGTTCGGGAACCTCTGATATAGGCCAAGAATATAGAAGGCATTTGATTTTGTAGCAGTGTCCGTGATGCCAAGAAAGTTGGAAACATTTGAAAGAAAACGGTCAATCTAATATATACAATCTCTACAATTTAATGACTGTCAGGCTGTTCAATATAGATATTTGTGAATGAATATTATTTGAAAGTAAGCAAAATTTGTTCTTGTGTTGACTTTTGAAAATCTTGAGTAATGCAATTGATATTCTTCAATACTTAATTTTGTAGTGCAATCTTCAGTTATCATTAATAATAATTATTATTAGAGTTATTTTGTAAAGTTTTAACAGATCTTCTTTTTGTAGAAGTTATTTATTATTTGCAGAATGTGTGGTGAAGATAAAACTAATACTTAGTTTTGACTATAATGTTGTTTGAAATTGAATGTTCTATATTTTTTTAGGAAATGCTGGAGTATGGGGTTTGAAAAAGAATTTTGCACTATTAGAGTTATTAGAGAGATTGCAGTACAACCATGAGAGAGGATCTGCATATTTCTCAGCTGAGTTTCTTGAAAAAGAAAGACAGGTATGAAATCTTTGAAGATTTACCAAGCATTTTTTTAAGAGAAACAAAAAAGTACAAATTTTGACACTGAAAATTGTTTTCACTGTGTCTTGACATTTACAGCTTTCGGTTCAGTGTGATGAGAATGAACAACATATTGCTGTACTTTATTGTACAGTATGCATGTCTCATCTTTGTGAGGAATGTTCAGAATTAACTCATGCAACTCGAACGTTGGCACGTCATCGTCGTGTTCCACTCTCAGATAAACCACGAGAGAAGCCAAAATGTCCCTCCCATCCCTCTCATGTTGCTGAATTCACCTGTTTAGAAGATGATTGTCAAACTTTACAATCTGGACCTGGGCCCATAATGTGCTTTATTTGCAAAGATTATGGTCGCCACAAAAATCACAAGGTTTGAGTGATATTGACTACTTTGTTGGTCGCAATGATGTCACTAGGTGAATGCTGGCCACTCAGCGGGTCGAAAGGGGCCCTTGCGAATTAATCCAATATAATTGATTTGAATAGTTATGGAATGAAATATAAATAAATATATATTTATTTATTTGTAGTAAGAAAATTATTTTAAATTCCTTTATGGTAATATTTTTACTTCATTACACTCTGCATTACTTCTGTAGTACAGAGAAAGTACTGTGAAGCCGATGAGGGGAATGGTGGCTTTTGGACAGAAAAACTTATATTGTGGGACCCTGTTTTCAAAATATAGGTAATGCTTCCTCTTATATAGTAAATGACTTCCTCTAAAATGTTGTTTAGTCAGATTCATGTTATAAGTGTTCTTGATGCCAAAACATTGTCCGGTTGGGCTAAACTGTAGGTAGGATTTTTACCAAATTGATATTACTTGATTAATTTGGCTGGAATTATGTCCTCATAAATTTCAAGCAGATTCAAAATGTCTCCAAAATAAAAAAAATATTTTGTTCTTCAATAGAGCTGAGTGTAGTGCATATTTTTCTATTTTTAAAATGGTGCAAGTTCAATTATCATTGATTACTCTAAATGTTTGAAATTGGGGTAGGTTAAAAATTTTTTCACTGTCTTCCTACAACTATGATGTTGAAGATATTTTTTTTGTAATAAAACTTGTTGTTGAAAATTCTTTAAATAAGATCCTGGGTAATATTTTCAAAATACGAGTAGTTTTTGCATAATTTTGTGTGAAATAAATGTAATTAAAAATACATTTTCTCTCCTTCATTATCAGTCTCTCTTTTCTTTCCCTCAGATACCGATCTTTTCTTATATAAATACGCTTATAAAAATGATGCAGGTCCGTTTTTCTTCAACTCTGAATTTTTTAAAATTGCAAAGTAGCACCACAAGTTTGTATTGCTTATTATAGACTTTATTTTAAATACATCTTTATTTTTATTTGTGTAGATAGTTCATTACTGTGCAGTTACCATTCCCAAAATGAGAATTAGAGTAGAATGAAGTAATACGAACTTAATGAATGAGAAGGAATAATTGAAGAAATAAATAAAAGGAGTGGCACGAATCCTAGTGATGTCAAGGATTTTACATACCATTTGCTCTTCAGTGTTTTTAATTCTATTTTTATTGCAGCACGCCCTTGTGGAAGCAGAAGCTGAAAATATTAGAGTATCTGTTATTAATGCTGTGCAGCATATGAGAAAATTCATGGAAGACATGAGTGAAACTGTACACAAACTTGGTTTGTATATTATATAGTGTTAAGTTTCTGAATTGTGTTGTGTCACAATTCATTATGTTGCTATCATAATGTGGGACTAATTTTAAATAACAACACAATGGAGTACCGTGGTGGAGAGAGAGAGAGAGAGAAAAAGGGGTTCAATTGGGTTTTAACCCTTCCCTCTTCCCCCGATGCCAATGATGCACATTCTTATGAATAGTTTTTAAAAAGTTTGCGGTAAAAAGTTTGTTATAATTAATTATAAATCAACAAATTAAAAAAATTAAACATAAATGAATAATTTGTTATAAGAAAACATCAAATCGGCTGGGCAATACCCTTTAGCCCCTAACATAAAAAGTTCTGGTTGTACAAATAATATAATTTATTTATTAATACAATGGCAGCAGCAACAGCTGACGTACACATATCCAATCACGTTGTACATGCTTGTATCATTTTCATTTTACATGTTTGTAAGGTAAACAATAATATATAAAACATAATGAGCATGTATAATGGGTTACAATATTAAAGAAAAAGAATAGAAGGAAAAGTTGTAGTAAGATTAATTCACCTTGCAAACAAATATTTATCCAAATAAGTTGGAAAAGAAGAAGCCTTAGAAACACTCTCTGCAGGTAAGTTGTTCCTTGCGTTGGCCACTCTCAAGAAATTGTGTCTTTACATTGTTCTACTCTCCTCCCTTTTAATTTTTAAGCTGTGGCCTCTAAGTCCTTTGTATGGGCTCCTTTTCAAAACGATGTTTGGATGTCATAAGCTGTATTCAGGATTTTATAATTCTCGATGAGATCCTCTCTTTGCCTTCTCAACTCCAGTGTTGTTATGGACATCTCATAGCATCTAGTTTCGTAATCCAAGTATTGAAGATCTACAGCAATTTTTGTCGATCTCCTTTGCATTTTCTCTAGTGAACTTTTTTTTTTTAATATGCTAATATGGCATGGTCCCTGTACTACGAGGGCAGCAAACGCTTAGAAAAGTGCTGAAGCAAGTCAGTAGGATTTCAAGAGAAGCTCGTCGAGCTATCGAGCAAGATGCCAAATGATGGCTTTGTTGGCACTGGAAGAGAGAAGAACCAGGTGTGATATGATAGGAACAGATAAGATTCTGAATGGTTTGTATAATATACCAGGGTATGATTCTGTCTTTACAAGATCTGTGGATTCAAGACTATGTGGACACATGATGAAGCTACGAAAAGAAACAACGAGGACAAAGATGACATTTTATTGCCAATCGGGCTGACTGTGTTGGAAGGAATACCTTGAACACATTTAGGAATAGTTTGAGTGCTCATAATTTTGCAAATTTCGAGTGATATATACAAACAGATATAATCAGTATATACTAGCTCTTTTATCTGTATATAATTAACACTTTCTTATGTATGATATGTGAATAACAGGTTGTTGCTGCCACCATTATTTAATAAATAAAAATAAATAAATAATATGGTGATCAAACTACACTGGCATATTCCACAATTGGTCTAATATATCTTATAGATCTTATGTAATGGAGATTTTAGTTTGTAGAAAACTCTTCTTATAAAGTAGAGTGAGAAATTTGCCTTTCTGATATCTTCAGCTGTTTGGGTTTTCCATTTCAAATCCTGTTTCTAAACTACTCTCAAATCATTTTGTTTTGTTGTGGCCGATAATGTTTGCCCCTGTATCATATAATTGAACTTAGGGTTGTTTCTATGCAAGTGAAGGACCGCGCACATATTCATTCAGGGGAAGCAGCCAGGTATTTGACCATTTCTCAATAGTGTTCAGGTGTCTCTGAATTTCACCATGAAATAATATTGCGTATCCATAAAGCTTGGTATCATCTGCATAAGAGTTCCACCTTGATTTCAAATACCTTCGCAAGTCATACGTGTGTAGAACAAATAAGATGGGTCCAAGAACTGATCCTTGAGGAACTGAACAGCTGATGATTTGTCTAGGTTTTCAGAGTATCACCAATACACATTGAGAGTGATCTGTTTGTCATGTATTCCTGGATGCAATGAAGTAATTTTCCCTTGATTTCTATGGATTCAAGTTTCATTATTAGCCTCTTGTGTGGAACTTTGTCAATAGCCTTGGTGTAACCTAAATGACATCCATAGAGTTTCCTTCATCAATAGCTTTTGTCCAAACATCTAGGGAAAATATCTCTTAAATAGGATCTACGATAATATCTAAATCATAAGAATAGATAATTTTTTACTTTGAGTGCAAGAATCTTATTACCTTACACATCTCAATATTTAGAAACAAGTTGTTAAGTCACCAATCATACAAGAAGTCTAATTTGCGTTGGAGCACATCACAATCTACCAAAGAATGTATTACTCTATATATTTTAAGATCATCAGTGAATAAGTGAAAGTTTGCTGAAGGTATTCTCCCCTTAATGTCATTAATGAATGCAAGAAATAATAATGGTCCCAGATGTGATCTCTGGACACCTGAAGACGCAATGTTACATGTTCATTTTATCGTCTTTTCCTTTTGTTGTCCACTTGTTTTCATGTTACGTCCACGGTTTTAATCAGCAGGTAAGTTGCATTTGCAATATTCCTTTTATTAAATTTATTTAATTAAAAAAAAAAAAAAAAAAACTTTAACACAGGTGCCAATCACCTCAGAAGTTGAAGTAACCCCCTACATCCCCAATCAATCAACCGAGGTTTGAGAATCAAACGACACAGACAATAATTTCATAGAGAAAACTAATAGAAAGCAATGTTGTGAGCATCCCTTGTTAGCTACTGAATAATCTAGAATATGAATAGTTCGAGAATATCTTAGAACAGTCACCGGATTCGAAATTCTTTCTCACTGGTGATTTCAGCCTGCCTGGTCCATACTGACATGGGAAGTGCCTGCTTGTATTTATTCTAATCGGTTTCCTCACATACTATGAATTCAGCTCTCTGTATTGTTGAAGCTTCATCGATGGCGAATGTTGTAAAAAAAAATTACATTGTAAATATTACAGGTAACTTACTGGACCTTGTATTTTCTAACTGTGATATTGTTGATGTTGGGCAATCCATTAACACCCTCATTGCCTGAGATATGCATCATCCTCTGCTGTTTGTTAATCTGCCTGGCGTTATGTGTCAGTCTCAGAGAAGACAAATTTCTCTTCTTTTGTATGATTTTTATAAATTGATCTGTTTTGCATCATCTTATGTGAAATTATTGCTAGATTTGTCCCATGACATTGTGCTGCTCCCTCTACGTTTCCTGTATTGTATTCTAGGTGGCTCATTGCTTGTATTTACGACAAGAAAAAAGTGAATAGACAATATATACAAATGAACTCACAAATTGCCTATTCTGCTTTTTTGAGATTAAGGGCAAATTGTAAATTCCTGCAATCAAGTTGCTTCTCGAGCCATATGAGAAAGACATTATCTGAAAAAGATGATCATCAATTTAATATGCACAATGGTGCGAATACCAGTTGTGGATTGGAGAAATCTGTTAATTTATTTGCGAACTTTTTTGGTTATGTTCATTTGTCTATTGTTACTTCCAACATTATACCAGTCACTACAAATAAGTATATTATCTCCCCATTTACACAGACATTTTTTGTATCCAAATCAATTATTTTCATTGAATTGGTAAGGCTTGATGCAAATAAGAGTGCTGGTCCAGATGGCATTCCCAATTACTTTGTGAAAAACTATGTTTACACAATTT